CAGCTCAGGCTGAGCTGCATTTTTATTTTTTTGGAGCAAGTTGAACCCAGCTAAAACTTCCCAGGATTTGAAATCCTCATCCCTGCATCTCCTTTCAGACCTCCCGGGGATCGGAGCCGAGGCAGGATGAGGGCAGGAGGTGGGGATGCCAGCCCAGGGATTTTAAGCTTCTCTTCTCAACCTCTTCTCTCTCTCCTCTTCCTCAGGTCCTGCTAGCAAGTCATGATGGTTGAATCTGCCTCGGAGACGATACGCTCCACTCCCTCTGGCCAGAACGGGGTCAGCAGCCTCAGCAACCAGCCCGATGGCGGCGGGGGCGGCGCGGGCGGCGGAGGAGGGGGCGGCGGGCGCGAAGGAGCCGCCAGCGGGGAGACCAACGGCGAGATGAGCCCCGTGGAGCTCCTGCACTTCCAACAGCAGCAGGTAGGAGGGATGTCCTGCTTCTCTCTCTGACACCTGCCTGCCACAAGGCAGCCCGGGATTGGGGTCCTTTGAGGATTTGGGTTTGGAGAGCGGGGTGGTGAACGTGTAATTTCACGTGCCTGCCATCCCCAGGGCTGGTGCAGGAGATGGGTTGCACCGGACTTGGTTGTCCTTGTTGAAGGTGGGGTGCAGGTGCTGCCCCAAAAAGCAGGTGGCATCCTTTGAGATGCATATCCCTGGGAGACAGAGCCCATCCATCCATGCAGCTTGTGGGCTGGTGCCCCAGGGGGTCTGCCTGCTCTGTCCTCCATTAGTGGGGGAAAGCAGTGCAGGAAGAGAAGGAGGGCTGTGAGAGCAGAGACCTGTTGACTGTAAAATAAGGAGCAGGTTTTCTCCCAGTCTGTGTTTGGTCACCCAGTGGATGACCAGAGATGGTCTCTGGGGCTCCTTGTGCCTTAAACTGAGGAATTAACCTCCTATGTGTGGCCAAAAACGTGTGACTGTGACATGTGTGTGCAGCAGATCTGTCCTTGAGCACATGTATGTGCACCTCGGGGAGCCCGTGCACAGGGGCAGCACAGCACACAGCTCCCCTTGCACTCTGCACCCGGGGGTGGCTGTGGGGAGGAGGGACCTGCGTGCCTGCCTGCAGGTTACCCTTCAAAACAAACTTGGGAGAAAACATAAATTTTCCTCCTCGGATACTAAATAAGGCAACGATCCCTGCCTCGTATGGAGATCGCCTCCCTGAGCCATAAATTCCAGCGTGAAAGCTGTAAAAAATTGCTGTGTCTGATACTTTAGTAGTGAGTGCTGTAAATCCATTACCTGAATAACAGCCGTTTCTCACGCAGTTAAGCCCCTGTTCCCCTGATCTGAAGGGTAATCATGCGTGTAATGCTGCTGCGAGTCACCCCTGCCCGAGGAGCTGCTGCTCCCTCCCCTCCCCGTGCCGGGAACAGCTCCCAATTTCACCACCAGGCAGCTGGATCCAAGAGGGAATGGGAGATGGCTGCTTCTTGCACAGCCAAAAGGGTGCAGATTGGAGGGTGGGCAGCGTGGTTGTGAAAATGGGTTTATCTCCTGCAGAAAATAAGGGGCAAAGGGTTTTTGCAGTTGCTGCTGTTGGCTCATCCCTGTGGATTCTGCTCCCTGAGCTCAGCCGGTAAATCCTGCCCTGCCCAAGGCACGGCCCATGGTTAATTTCACCCTTTTGTATTTCTTCTTTTGCATTCCCAGTGTAATTACCTTGGGAAACTCACCGGCACATGGAATTTTTAAGGCAGAGGGTTTGGTAAACTTTCAAAAACAAATGACATCTGCAATGACAGCACCTTGGGGGGGGGGAAAGAGCCAACATCCCGAGGACTATCAATCTTCATGCTTCAGGGAACAGGCTGAGCACCAGCTGGGGTCAGGAATAAATGTCCCCATATATAGAGTTTAGCACAATTAGGTGCTTTATGGTGGTTTTGCACCATCTCCAGGAGCATCCAGCCCTCGCCTGGTGTCACAGGCAGGTTCCTGGACCACTGGGCTGTTCCCGTCTGGCAGCTCCTCTCTCCTGGCTCTGCCTCAGCTCCCAAAATGTCAGTGCTCAGTCCTTGTCCTTAACTATATGAAATCCATGAGAAACCTTTAAGAAGCCTGGAGGGGTGGGAACCCATCAACCACTCCACGTTGGGCCAGCAGTGAGTTGAAGCTCCATGTCCATAGGGGTTTGCTTGAGCAATGCAGCTCCCCAGGGGCACGTGCTCTGCCCTCGTTTTTGGCTGGTTTTGCACCTTTTGGTGAAATGAGCTGGTTTTGACCTTCTTTGGGACCCCCAGTCTGAGGCTTTCACCTTTTTGAAAGGGGAAAACCCTGCCAGCTCCACTTCTGGAATGGTGCCCAGAGGTGAGTGCCCCAGATGGGAGCTTGAAGGGAGATGGATGTATCGCAGGGTGCTCAGGGAGCTCCTGGGCTGTTTTTTGGCTTCTGGGGGATTCCCAGAGCAAGAGGATTCAGTGTCCAGTTGCACCAGCCCAGCTCTGCAGGACAGGGGTTGCCAACCACAGTGCCAAGCAGAGCAGGGCTTTCTGTCACCATCCTCAGCTGCACCAGATGGGTCTGACTGCCCTGATCCCTGCAACTTCAGAGCATCCCATGGTCCAGAGAGCCTGGAAGGAGAGTGGGATGGGGTGGAAAAAGGGCATTTCCCTCCCTTGACAGGTCTGGACCATCCAGCTCCCTCTCCCTCCCTCTCTATCCCTCTCCCTCCCATCCCAGGGGATGGCGTTCAGATTAAATCCCTGGATTTCAATGGTGGGATTGGGCTGAAAAGCTTGAATAGCGCGCGCCGGCAATTGTGCGGGGGTTGGCGGAGGGGAGAGGTCGGCGGGGGCATGGGAGGGCTCCCGGGCCGGGGGCTCCCGCCACTGTTGCCGTGGGAACCTGGTGAGACCTCCAGTGCTGCTGCCCCCCTGCCTGGCTCCAAAGGGCCCCCCCACCTCCCTGCATTAATGAGCTTGTAACGTGGGGACCAGCCCCTCACCACACCAACCCCCCCTGTCCTGGTTTCAGAGAACCAGGGTAAGAATTCCCTGTAACCAGAACCCTTCTGGGACCCCACCAGCTGAGGAGCACGAGTTCCATATTTATATATTTCTGTGTATCTGCATGGAATTCACCACCATCATTCTTACTATTACTATTTATTATTTCACTTAACGTATTCTAGGGTTTTTTTCCAACCTTGAAGTCTCTCTCCCTGATTCCCGTTTTTATCTTCCCCTGGGAATGTAGTTTTGGGGGATGACAGCATCTGTCACCCAGTTATTGCCTAAAACCATGACAACCCCCCCATTCCCGTAATCCTCAGGTTGGGCAGGAATCAGGAGTGACAAGGTGTTGGATCACTGTGATGGAAGAAGGATGGGAGATGCTCAGGTTTGGGTGTTGGGGTGCAGGAGTGCACCCCACAGCAGCAGGAGGGCAGGAGAGACCCTTGGGTGGGCTGCTGCACCAAACAGGGAGTCATCTTTGATAGTTTGGGTCTCTTCAGGGTTTCCCTGAATTCCTACAAAAAATCCCAGGTCTCCAAGTCTCATCCTGGGTCTCTAAGTCTCATCCCAGACCTGGGGTTTAAATCCATGGGGTGTAAAGAGGCTGGATCATGAGGGTCACTGTGGTTTTGGGGTGCAGAGGAGTGGTGTGGATATAGCACAGTGGGGTTCAGGGCAGGGATGTTCTGGGGAATCATTCCGAAGCCTGAGCAGCCACACGGTAGCTCTTCCCAACTTGCAATCCCATGGAAAAGGAGCCATCTGCAAAATCCAGTTGCTGTAGTGGGTTTTTTTACTATGCAAAAAAAACCCCCAAAACCTACCAGAAATACTGCAGTTTATTGCAGATACACGTCAAAGAAATCTTAAGTCTTATTTTTGTTTAATAACTTACGAAAAAAAAATAGCCAGAAGTAAATGGGACTTTTTTGATAGTTGAAGAAGGGTGTGGATGGGGGGAGGAGAAGCACTTCTCTGCCACAGGAAAGACACCGTTCCATAAAACACGTGATCACATCTCAAATATATTGTGTAATCTGCTATTATTAGGGCATTTAAGATAAAAATGAGACTGGAGCACTTAAGTGAAACTCATCTCTGTATTAGGTCCCTTGATTTATATTTCATATTTTACTGAGTGCAAATGCAGGAGGGGTTTTTTTCCCCCCTTTTCTTTTCCCCCTCTTGTTTTTTTCCCTTTTTTTTTTTTTTTTCCATGGGGTGGGATTGTCAGGAGCTTGTTCCTTGTGTTCTTTAGTGGAAATGGGTTTAACCCCTCGCCTGCAAGGATTGAAGAGTCAAGAGTGGAGGAATAAAGTCCAGAAGCATTGGAGTGTGCAGCAAAAAGGAGAACAGCTGGGGCTGAGAGAGAGGCACAGACTTGATTGTAAAAAGGGCTTTTTTTTTTTTTTTTTTTTTTACCTCGCTGCTGAATAATTGTGTCATTTTTGTTAATTTTGATCTCTTTGAGCCATTTGGTTCTGGTTAAGCCAGACCAGGGCTGGGCAGGGTGGAAGTGCTTCTCAATATGGCATCATTTACCGTTAATATCCATCTAAAAATACCCTTCTGTGTGTTGTTTTAATAGCTCTAATTTTGGAATGTGACGATGTCATTTTTATGAGGTATGGGTAAAAAAATCTTTTTCTTTTTTTCCTTACATTTTTTTTCATCCCTTCCCAACCTCTTTCTGCCCTCCAAAAGGAACGGAGGCAAATGGGAAGATACAGACTCTCTTTGTAGATTCCCCCCCTCCTTGCAAGATTGTTGGTTTAGGATCATTTTTAGGGTGGCTCTTAACTCATTGGAGGTTAATACCCCATGCAAAGCTTTGATCCCAGCCAGGTGGAAAATCCCTCAGCTATATTTGGGCAGTGGTTCCCATGGGCTGGGCGATCCCGCTCCTCCCTCACGCTGCTTTTGGCTCTGGCACACGGAGCATCCGGGCACCGACGGGTGTAATTAAAAAGTACAACCTCATAAAAGGAAATACCTGGTAGAATGAGGTAGTTTAAAAATACCCTGGGCAGGGTTTTCCGTTGCACTGTTGGATTTTGGGGAGGCTGAGGCTTGTTGTCCTTTTGGGAAGACTCGTGGCTGTCTCCATCCTCACCGAACTTTGTTGAACCTCTTGACCTGTTTCTTCCTGATATGACCAGGCAATGGGAGCCCTTGGAGAGGCTCCACTTGGGCAATTTTGTGGGGAAAGGGGGAGCCAGGCAGGCATGAGGGATTAAGGTGAGGGCTGCAGTGTGAGTCAGCCACCCTGCATGGGGTAGGAGCCACTGTCTCCTCTCCCCAGGCTCCTCTGTCTCTTGGCCAGGTGGGACCTGGTGTTTCTCATAGGAGAAAGGGAAGTTTGCGGGATTTGCCACAGGAAAGGCAGCCAAAAGGCAGCCCTTCTGCTGTCCTGGGACACCTCCATCACCTGCAGCAGTGTGGAGTCCCACCAGCTGGAGAATGAGCCCTTGGGAGAAGAATTAACCATAATCTCTGGGAATGCTGGGATAATGAGCTGCTGCCCTGCTGGAGGGTGAGAGGCTTTTTCCTGAAGTCAGGGTGAGGATCCAGCCTCAGTTTTTCCAGCAACTGGAAGGATTTGGTGTCTCTTGGTATAGGGGAGCATCCCTGTGGGTGGGTACCCCAGCACCCCCATTCCATGGTAGGAAAACCATGGGAGCAGCTTGGAGCAGGTCCTGGCAGCGTGTGTGCTGCTCCTAGGATTGATCCCAGGCGTGGTTTATTCCTCGACCCTCTCCACACCCCAGCACACTCCTTCCAGCATCTCTTAGTGCTCAGCTTTCTGCAGCAACTACTGTGCAAAACCTTCTAGGAGCCCAGTGAGGAGCACACAGAGGTTCTGGCAAGGGGAGCTGAGCCTGGGGAGGCTTTTCCTCCACTGTGCTAAGAACTCATCTCAGTACTTAGCAGTTTTTTTGCTTGCTTTTTAAAATAATTGTTAAAAAAACAGAGTAGCTGCAGGCTGTGTTTTATTTCTACCCTGGACTCTGTACCAAACTGCAGTGCTGCCTTGTTGGGGGAATAGCACAAAATGCCCAAGGAACTGGTGAAACCTTGGCTGAGATTTTACAGTTTGATTTTAAATAAATATTTTTAAAAAAAAAAAAAAAGGAAGCAGTCAAAATAATGAAATTAGCAAAATCCCACCAGGTTAAAAGCTTTCCTACCCCAGGCATGGCTCTAGCAGGGCTTTGGGTGTAGCTCTGAATTGATGTTTTATGTGTCTTTGTGGAGCCTGGGGTACTCGTGAGCCGCCCCCCAGCAAAGTCCAGGTCACCATCCTCTTTCTCAGCCCTGAAAAGTGCTGCTGCTCTTGGGGAGGGCAAAGCAGCTTCAGCTCTTGACATCAGTGTCTGAGACGTTGCAAACTTTTTAATGGGATAATTTGCTGATCAAAGGGAGCCTTCCAGAAGCAAGATGAATTTGACACAACCCATTCGTTCCTAATTACGAGTAACATGCTAATGACTCTTGAATAACACCATGCAGCAGGATGCAGTTATTTTTAAAAAAAAAATAAAAATCATTTTTTCTCTAGTTCACAGCGCCAGGAGGTGAAGCCCATCCACTCCTACCCAGGAGACTTTCTTCCTTCTGCTTTCACACCTTCTCAGCCCTAAGGAGAGGCTGTGGGTGACATCCTCCTTACTTACCCCTGCGGAAAGCCTTTATCCCCCCAGCATCTGGGCTGGTCTCCCCATCCTTTGGGGTAACAAATGCATATAATCCTGGGTTCTGCATCCTGAAGTTCAATTCTCAGGGCTCCACTTGCCTAGTGCAGTCGTGCAACAGGTTTGCAGCCAGGCACTGCCAGCCAGAGCATCCTTGTTTGCAGGCTGGGCTGAACTTGGGGCTTTAGTGGAAATCAGTGCTGGGTGGTGGGGAGGGAGGGAGCAGCTCTGGGGCGCTGGCAGGGAGGCCCCTGTGTGCAATTGTAAGGCCATGTCATTTTTTTTTTTTTTTTCCCTGTAAATCTTGTAATTTCGTGCTTCAGAGCACAACAAAGTGAGAGAGCCAGCAGGGAGTGAATTAAATTCCCCCCTGAGAGGCAGCGCGGGGTGGGCGGCCGGCAGTGGGGCTGAGCCAGCTGGGCCTGGGGACTTGGTGACACCTGTGGGGCAGCCAGAATTTGGCTTTAGAAAGAGAGATTCTGGGAGAAGTTCTGCCCAACACTTTGCCTGGGTTCTGGCATCACCTCTCTTCTTTCTCCCCTCTTTGCTGTATTTTTCCTTCCTGCTGCACTGATTTTTATTAAGGCTGTGGCAGGGACCTGCACTGCCAGGTCACCTCTCTGAGATGGTCTGGGCAAACACCAGAGGAATTTCATGTGGTGCATGTGGAGAACCCAAATCCATGTAGACTTCTGTCAAGTGAACACATGGAAAAACAGGTAAAGCTTGAGCAGATGGCTGTTAAGTCCAACACCCATCCTGGGGTGAGTGCCTTGGATCTGCCACACGCTGGTGCTGAGCAGCTGTTGATTGACTTCCCCCACCCTTGGCTTTTAACTGGAATTACTGTTTTCCTTTCAAAAAGTAATTAAAATATCAGACCTTAGAGCTGTCATAACTGTCACATGGCTTTTGTGTTCACATTATCAATGCACATCTATTCCTGTTAATAACAGGGAGTAACATGCCTGGAGAGAATCATAGAGTCATGGAACGGTTGGGGTTGGAAGGGCCCTCTGGAGATCTTTGAGAAGCATGTGGCAGCTCTGGGAGTTGGACCACGGGTTTATACCATCAGGGATTCCCAGCACATTGCCACGTTCATCCTCAAGGATTTCATTTTTTTTAATCATTTGTATAAAGTGAGGTTGCATCTTAGTGGTTGTGCAGTTCTGGAGCATTCCCACCACCTGGCCAGGGATGAGGTGATGGGCATGGGGCAGTTTTGGGTGTGCCTGTGCTGGACACTATGGGCTGTGTTGACTCCTGAGTGCACCCTGCTTTAGAATGGATGTTAGGAAGAATTTCTTCACTGAAAAGTTTGTCAGGGATTAGAACAGGCTGCTCAGAGCAGTGGTGGAGTCACCATCCCTGGGGGGATTTAAGAGACATAGTGCTGAGGGATATGGTTTAGTGAAGGACTGGTCAGTGCTGGGTTAATGGTTGGACTCGATGAGCTGGAAGGTCTTTTCCAATCAAGGGAATTCTGTGGAAAAATTCTGGGTGCAGCCCTGGTGATTTGTCACAGGAGCAGAATGTCAGGATCGTGTCAGCTTTTCTAACTTCTGGCTTTTGACTTTCTCAGAATTGTGTTTGGTTCATACATGAGGTGACAAACACAGTGCAGAGGGTGCTGGCTCTGGGCCTGGGGCACAGCTTTTGGGTTTGGGTCCCTTGCTAGGAAATTTTAATGATTATTTCTTTAATAAAATAAATAAGGCTGTGTCTGCTGAACTCTCAGCTTGCAGCCTACAGATTCAGCAGCAACTTTAAAATTACCATTTTGCAAGTGCACTTCTAATGCTTGTCCACGGGCAAGGAGCAGGTCAGATGGATTTATCCCCCCAAAAATGTGGCACAGCTCTGACATCCTTTGCTTTAGATCTGTTGCATTGCTCTTCCTGAATAACCCCTGCAGAGAGGGGCACGAAATGGGACTTTTTGATGAAAATGCAGGTAATGAGTCTTTGTGGATGCTCCCGTGTGAGGGTGCTGTGGGTGCTCCATGGTTTGCAGAGGCTCAGGAGATGGCCTGGGGCAGCATGTTAAGGTGCATCCACACTGTGGGTGATGCTGCTCTGCTGTGGAAGCAGATTTGGCCGGGGGAGGGATGGAGGAGGCAGGGCAGGGGGGCTGGGGGCTTTCTTCTTTATAGCTGGAAATGCAGAGAATTAACAAGTAGCCCTTTCTGGGGGCACGTGGCCACCTCCTGGAAGCCGGGGCAGGGATTTACGGCCAGGGCGATGACAGCTGGGGGAACCCAGCACTGCTGGGCTGGGCCCTGACCCCTAATGCAAGCCTGTGCTGCAGGCAAACCTACAATGGCTTGGTTGTTCCCAAATGTACCAAAAAAAAATTTAAAAATCCCTTGAAAGCAAAACTAAGGAGCATACGAGGAAGCAGGGTTGTTTTTATTAGGCCTTTATTCCCTCTCCTGCTTCTCAGCTCCTGAATGAAACTCCTTTTCTTGGCTTGCACACACCTGGGCTCTTCTGCCCACTCATGCTTTCTCCTCTGTCCTCCCTGTCTTTTCCCAGGATTTTCCTTAATTTCCCCTAGTTTCTTCAGCTGCTCTGCACAGCTCACTCCTGGTTGCTTGTGCCTGCATGTTTCCACAAGTGGTTTTTATCAAGTTATGTTAGTTTCTCCCTCTTTTGCCTTTTGTGTGACTTGTCAGCCAGACACCCTCATCCTTGCAAACAAGGAAACCCATAACTCTTTCTAGGCACTGTGGTCCACCCGTGTGAGTTTCTGAGCTTCTCCTGCATTACCCTAAACTCCATGTGGATGTTTTCATGGAGTTTTCATTTAATCCAGGGTGTAATCCTGCACTTGACCTGACCCGAATCTGGGCAGTGGCTGGGACTTTTTGGTGCTCCAGTTTAACAATCACACAAAATGAAATATACATGGTAGCTTTAGACACAAGGGGTGTCAGCTGCAGCATGAATGTAGTGTTGTCTCTGTGCAAGGTGGGATAAATCAACTGGGAGCCAGCCCTTCTGCCTGCTGCTGGGGGTGTGTCTGCCAGGGCTGGTGCCTGGGGAGGCTGGAGATGACCCCTGTGAAACCTGCCAGAGACAGAAGATGCTGGACCTGGGGACTTGCTGCAGATGGGACAGGAGTTTTTGGAAGAGGACAGGATTGTCCCCAGGTCTCTGTGTCTCTCCGTGGCTTTGGGGGGATAGGGAAGAGTAGTGCTCTGTCATGGGATATACTGGTTATACTGGTGTGGCAGGAGGAAGGACTGGGGAGTGCTGCCCTCCCCTTGCATTGCTCGCACGCCGTGAATCAAACTTATGAAGGACCAGCCCAGGTGGCCCCGTGCCCGGGAGCTGGGGGGGAGGAGGAAGAAGAGGGGCTGCCTTCCTCCTGCCCACCCCGCTGTGTCTCTTTTGCAGGCTCTCCAGGTGGCTCGCCAGTTCCTGCTGCAGCAGGCCACGGGGCTCAGCTCCCCCAGCAGCAATGAGGGCAAGCAGCCAGCAGTGCAGGTGAGCCCCAAGGATGTGTGTCTGTCCTCCCCCATCACCCCCTTTTTGGGAAGGGCTGGGCTGCAAACTGGTGCCATGGAGGGTGCCCGAGCAAACACACCTCACTCCATCTTTGGATGGAGGCCACAAAGAGTTAAATCCCCAGGAAACTTGCAGAGATTCTCAGGGGTTTTTTGGGGGGTGGAGAAGCGGTTGTGATCCCCATTGTGTGCTGACGTGGTGGGAAAGGGTGATGGGAGGAAGGGCTGGCTCCAGATCGGGTAAGGAACAGCACAGTGAGGGTCACCATGTGCCACCAGACCTTGGGACAGCATTTCCCAGGGTCAGAGCACTCCAGGAGTGATGCTGGGTGCTGTGAGAGGCACACGGGGCTAGGTAAGGGGCAGTCCCCTGGGGCCAGTGCCACGGCAGGTCCTTCAGCATGGGTCAGGAGAAAGGCTCCTCTGGGATGGGGTTTTGTGGCACTGGCAGGAAAATGGGGCTTTGGGTGGATGCAGCACCCTTAGGTGGCATCCTGTTCCCATTGGAGAGGGGGAACCTCCCCTTTGCTCCCTCCTTCTCCACAGGAAAGGGGCAGAAAATAGGGAGAAAAGGGACAGAAAAGGAATGTGAATTTGAAGAGGGGGAGGCAGAAAGAAGCAAAGCCCAAGCGATGGAAAGTGACAATTTAAATAGCTGTGTGGAGGGGCTTTCCCTTCAGGCTAATTAAATTTATCGGAGAACAGCAGGTTACCTTATTAGAGCCACGTGGGTTTAATTAACAAAGGAAAGTAATTAGCACAAGCACTCTCAGAGCTGGAGGTCCTGCCTATGCCAGGCTGAGCGGGGCTGGGATGGGCAATCTTTGGTTCCTCTCCTCATGCCCAGGGCACAGCCAAACCTCAGCAAGTGCCATCCCAGTGCTGCTGGTACCAGGGTGGGTTCGGGGGAGCCCAAATTCCCCCCGACCATCCCACCAGGTTGGGAAGCAGCAGCCGGGTACGAGGAGCAGGAATTAGTCAGGGCTCCTGCAGCACAAACAGGCAGCTTTTTCCAGTGGTGCTCGCAGGAAGGAAATGCAATCACTGCATGGAAAATGTCTGCGAAGGACAAAGGCAGCGAGGGTGAAGTCAGATTCCGGTAACCGGCGCCTTACTCCCCTCCGTGGGTGTGTGTCCCTGCCCGCACTTCTTCCCCTGCCTGCACTTCTTCCCCTGCCTGCACTTCTTCCCCTGCCCATCCCTTGCTGCTTCCCAGCTGTGATCCATTCGTTCTTCACTCCCTTGCCCATCCCATTCCCCCCTTCTCTGCTGCTTTCTCTCCCCTCCCCTCCCTGCCCATCTGGCCGGCGGCTTTGCTGGAGTGAACTGGATCTGCCTTCCTCTCCCCTCCTCCCTTTTTGTGTTGCAAAAGGACTTGTGAAAGTTGTAGACGTGAGTCAGAAATAGCTCATAACTCAGCAGCGACCGGCCTCTTCCTCCCCCCGCCCCGGCCCCGCCAGCCCGGCTGGCAGCTGGAGTGGGATCTGACTGAGGGGAGATAGAGGATTAAGCAGACTCCTTTGAAAGGAAGTTTATCTAACGTGGAGCGGTGTGGATGAGACTGGCCAGGACGGCTGGAGGAGGAGGAAGGCTGGGTCACCCCTGGCTGGGGATGGAGGGGGAAGCACAGGCAGAGCAGAGGGTTCATGGCAGTGTTTGGAACTTGGGATGCTGGCCTGGATCTGGGCTGGATTTCCACGTTGTTTGGTATTTTGGGGAGAAGCTGTTTCAGTGGCTTCTGGCTCCCAGTCCCATGTAAAGTGAGTAGGAGGGTCCCAGCACCCAGGGGTGCTGCAAATTCCCCACGTTTGCTTTTGTAGCAAGCAGCTCCCTGTCACCTTGCTGATGGGCACAGGACACTTCTGGGGCACCAAGCCAGCAGAAATATTAATGACAGCCACTTAAAAACAAACAAGGTGCTGCTGGGCTCAGTGGGGATCTTCTGGGGTTTTTTTTGGAGTATGAAGCCTGTCCACCCCCAGATGCCTGGAGGTGTTCATGGAGAGCATGGAGTTGATGTTCCAGTTACAGCCACTTTTTAAAAAAACAAAAAGCTGAAAAACCCCACTCTGAAACATTTAAAAATGTTTTCATTGCTTTGCAACTTTAGAACTATTAGAAACTTGGTGGATGCCAACAAAGTGTTGCATTTGGGGACTTCTGCTGCAGCAGGATTCCTCTGGGATGGGGAGATGCTGCTGGGGTCCAGTAAAGCCCATGGCAAGAGATGCTGGAGCACGCTTGGATAGGCAGTGGGGAATCTGAGCCCCATATTTCTGGGGTTGGGCCATTTCTGGCTTGAAGGCACCACTGAATCCCAGAGTGCCTCTTCCAGGGTCCCTCCCCCAGCCCAGCCCCCAGAGCTGGGGGTCTCCCAGCCTCTAACAGGAGCAACTTGCTGAGGTTAAAAAGCCTCTGAAATGGGAGAGGGGCTGAAGGGAGCTGAGGGAAGGGGAGAGGAGTTTGGAGCAAACTGCGGGAAATTGCTTTTCTTTTGTCTGCTGTGGCGGGGAGGGCAGCGGAGCGGAAAAGTGTATTTTGTTGATTTGAAACTTGAGTGAAATGGGTAATGAAGACAGATCAATACCAGCCCTTCTGCGTTCCCACTCCAGGAAAAAAAAAAACCCAACCCAAGCAGCCAGCAGCCCGTCCGTCTCAGCTCTCGCCGCGCTAGGTTTTTCCATTTGAACTCGCAGCACCGTCTGTCCCTGCTCCCCCTCCTCCTTCCCGTGCTTCCCGCCACCGCTGCCATCCTGCCCCACTGTCCCCACGGCAGCAGCGGCTGTTTGGGTTAGCAGGGCAGCAAAGGTGTCCCTCTGATCCCTGGGCATTCCATCAGCATGACCAGGACACCATGCCAGCACCCGGTGCCCATGGAGAAGACGTGTCCCCCAGGGGGTCCTCCCCAGGGAGCAGTCAGGGGCAGGGGCTCACCCCAAGGTGCTGCCAGGCAGCTGGTACCTCTGCTCTGAGCCCCTCCCTGCCAGCTCCCCTTCAACTTCTTAGCAACCCACAGCCCAATTACATGCAATTAGTGCCTCCCCGCCAGGGTGTGCTGCGCTAACAAGGATGCATGTCAGGTTAAGCACACATGGGGTGGATTCCTCCTTTCCTTTGCTTGCAGCTCAACGTGAGGGGCTGGTTGTCCTCCACACAGGTATGCTGGTGCCCACTTACCTGCACGCCACGTGCTGCCAGCCTTCTGCCACCCCCAAGGGGCAATTACCCTTTGGTGTTGAGGCTATTCCAGGTATTCCTAAAATAACCCCAGAGCCTCAAAACCCAGCCTGGCATATTGAGCTGGAGCTCCCTTGCAGATCTGGATTTGGTTTCTCCTCTCATCCTCGGTAGATTTTAGTCTCTTTTCTCTGTCCTGTCTTGGTAAAGTCCAGGCAGAGCATGGTGGGAGCAGAGGGGGTTGGGCAGGGTATGGGTGGCCCTTGCCACCCATCAGGGTGTATAACTGTGGCTGGGGTTATGCTGGTGTGAGAAGTGTTGCTGCCAGGCCCTGGGTGGTTGAAGCTCTTGCAGGTGATCTGAGTAAGTTGAATCCCAGAGCTTGCCTGGAAATACTGAAGGCAGGAGGACATGCATGGATGTGCCTGTGGACTTGAAGTGAAAGGTTTGCTCTACCTCAGCTGCAGCAGCAAAAAGTGAGTGCTCAGGGATGGATTTTACGCTTCCCCTGACCCCAAAAGCAGCAGACATGAAGCTGCTCTTGGTGATGATTGCTTCCCTGCTTCTGTTGGCAGCTCCAAGCCTCCCTCACCAACCTCCTTGGTTTGTTTCTGTTGGTTTTGGAATTGAAAAGGGTGATAAAAAAAAAAAAAGCAGCACAAATGTTTTTGCTGTTGTTTCTAATCGGGAGTTAAAACCTGAGATAAGATCAGAGACAAGGATGTGCAGCGCCTTGGGCTCCGAACACCCCGGGCTCACTGCAGGGAGAGGTTTGCTCATCCTGGTGACTCCAAGTTAGGGAGGACAGGGGGGACAAGGTCTGGGCTGTGCCTGCCCTGGTGCTGGAGCTTGGAGGTGAGGTGTTAGGTGTGGACCTGGAGATTCTCCTTCCCACAGTGGTGGTGGCCTGCTGCCCCAGCTCCCCGGGGACGCAGCAACTTCCCGGCATGGGTGAAGGTCAGTGCAGGGATGCTTTGAGGCTGAGCAATCCACGGGCTTGCTCACACCCCTGGGCTGATGGGGGATGTCCCAGCTCCTGCGCTGTGCCAAGCCGGCTGTCCCGGGAGTCACGAGGGTGATGATGGCACCTCCACAGTGCTGGGAGCCAAGATCAGCCGTCGGGCTGTGGCTTTCCCTGCTCTGTCTCATGGCTGGAAGTAGCAATCTGCTTCCCATAAAAAAAAAAAGAAGAGAAAAAAAGAATCTAAGGCAGATTCCCCTCTCCTGCTGCGCTAGCCCAGCCAAATCCTGTTTCTCTCAGCGGCTCTGGCAGGGCTGCTCCTTGCTTACACCGAGCGCTGAGTTTCCCCTGTAATACCCGCCTGGTTATTCCACCCGCTGCCTGATGATCCGCGTCCGCCCAGGCCCCTGGCACGGAGGGATTATTACAACCGGGACTGCCTGGAAAATCACCCCCTTGAGATCCCGCTCGCCGGCCGGAGCCGCAGCGCCGGGGCGTTCGGAGAGGCAGCCGAGCCGTTAGGAAGCAAGTCTTCGGGGGG